ATTGAAAATGGGCGAAATCGGACTGTAACCACGCCCACTTTCCATATAACGGTAATTTCCAGAAATACGAAAACTGCGATATTTTAGTAACTACTGCCGATATTTCACTCAAAATTGACATTTACAATAACTTTCAGACCAAAAATAGTAATATTATAAATTTTTGGAAAATGGGCGTAGCCACGCCCACTTATGATTACATGTGTATATATTAGTAACCGCTGCACCAATTTCTTCCAAACTTGGCACACTTTTTAGCCTTGGTACAACGTACCAAATGGCCGAACATTTTTAAAATCGGACTAACCACGACCACATCCCATACAACGGTAATTTAAAGAAATACAAAATCTTCGATAAATCAGTAAATATTAAAGCTAATTTATTCAAAATTGATTCTTGCAATAATTCTTTACCAAGAAATACGTTTATAATAAAATTTTGGAAAATAGGCGTGGCACCACCCACTTATGCTCACATACATATATGTATCTCGGTAACCGTTCTACCAATTTGTACTAAACTCGGTATGGTTATTGTGCTCGCCACATGAAAGCAAAATGTTGAAAATTATTGAAATCGGACTAAAATTACGACCGCTTTTCATATAACGGTAAATTTCAGAAATGCTTCAAACTTCAATATTTCGAAATTTAAGGACGCTAATTTACTCAAAATTGATACACCCCGGCTTACCATGTAGCGGTAGCTTTCAGAAAGGTGAAAAAACATATACATATGTAATACTTGCGCCGGGTATTTAGTGTTCGGCTCCGCCCGAACTTAGACTTTCTTACTTGTTTATTTTGAAATCAAAAAAGTTTTCCATGTGTTTTGTGTGGAAAAAATTATTTTTTGTAGGAAATGTATAGAATTCTTGGAATGAATATTTTTTGATTGGAAAATTCTGTTTCTCTCATATATGTAATACTTCTATATTGGCAGTAAGCTAACTTCTCAATGTGTAAGCATTCAGAAATCAAAGCGAGACAGTCTAGTACCGTTTTTGTCATTGTATTGTGTACTTGAGTGCCGTTTTTGTATATGTGTTGTGTACATGTTTATTTATAAACGTGTGCGTTCCTTTTCTTTCGTACGTGTTTATTGATATATCTGAACTGTAGTGTTTTCGGACGGTACTAGCTCTTACTGCCAATATAGGAGTATTACATATATGGTTTCTCTTCATGATTATAATTGGAAATAATACCCAATTTTTTATTTAACTTTTTTTATAGGGCTTATGAAAAATCATTAGTATTAAAAATGGCAAAATAAACAATTAGGTATTATTATTGAAAGCATCCGGAAAAGGAACCGAGTTTTTCGATCGAAAAATATTGATTTTTAAAAATCCTACATGGAAAACTTTGCGCCAATATTTTTCGGCATAGAACAATCCCAGGAGTAGGAGCACTAAAATTCCGACTTTACATTTTTTTTACCAACCTAATGTACATACATAAGTGAATGTGAATTGCAGAAAATCTAGAGTTTTATATATTTGTAGAAGTAAATTCGTATTAAAGAAACAGTTTATTATTGCATTTCCCAATAACTTAATAACATTTACTCCTGCATTGATAGAGCTAATGATTTAATAATTCATTATGCTAAAATTATAAACGCATGACTTATTGACAAGTTATTTTTTTCTATTTAATTGAAATAATTTTTTTTACAAAAATAAAGTTAAAATTTTTCTCAAATACCCTATAAATCCAGTTTTCAAACCATCTGCAATATATAAAAATATCAACAAACTTTTTTAAAATATCAAGATTTCTTGGGAAGATTTTGAGTGTGCAGTTTAGTAGCGATGATTTTTGTCAAATGTTTGCTGATGATGTTGTGCATTTTCATTCATTCAAAGTATGCTCGACATTTTTATTCATCCTTCATTTAATTACATATGTATGTACATACTAGGGATGTTGCGGATGTGGAATTTTAGACATCCGCGGATGCGAATGCGAATGCGGATCTCAAGTATTTTATTAGAATCTAGCATAATAGCGAGATCGTTGTTTAAACAGCGCTTATAAGCCAAACCAGATACATATGTCATGTTGTTTAAGAATTTGGAGAACCTGCAACTTTATCAGCACTTTTCGATTTTAGTTTTTGTAATTCATTTTTAATACTTTCTTCTGCGACTGCTTTGAAAAATTAGTACTTATAGCGGGGGCACCGAAATTGCGCATATGGAAACTGTGCATTTAGACATTATT